CCTAAAGGAGCAACAGACAAAAAGCAGTGTACTGACAATTGGCTGTATATTTTTTTGATAACTGATATCAAAGTTGTACTTTATTAAAGAATCATTGTCTTTTAGATTCAGATATTAAAATATTTATAGATGAGATGATTTCATGGCTTGGGTTCACTTCAAAAAAAATTATCTGAAGAAAGTTGGATCAGGAAGGGAGTGAATAGATATACAGAGGAAACAAGATTGAGCACACATTGATGGCTGAACATCATGGCTGTGTAAACAGTATGAGAGTTGTATTATTCTCTATGCTTTTGTCTATGTTTGAAATTTTCTATGATAAAATGTTGAAAAATATGTCAAAAATAGTTAATGAATGTGACTAGTCTCTTAAGTTTATTCTTGTTCAAGGAGCCAGCTCTCAACTCACTTTCCTTTATTTCTTTAGAGGAGTAACTGATTCTGGTGATCTAAGCAGTGAGATTCATGCCATTCTGTTTTATTACTCTCAGGATAGCTCATGGCAGAAGCAAAATAAATCCAATTTCTGAATCTCCTTTGTTTTCAACCACTTGGGAATTGTCTCTGAAACTACTGTGGGCATTTTAAGCAACCCTGATTACCCAGCAAGAACAATGTACCTTTCAGGGAAGCAGAGAGGATAAAATAACTCTTTCTGCCCTTCTATGCTCTCATGACAAAAGCTATAGCTATTAAATACCGGTACTCAATGAGCTAATGAATGGTGAGCTGGTAATTGTGTTTTTGGCATCTTGGGATCTGAGCCTCTGCCCTGTATGAACTTGTATTCTTCAATGTGTGGCCTTATTAAGTTTAGCTGCTGAGTTACATGTTGGCAAAAGAGGCTGAGGAACTCCAAAGCTAAAAACTGACTTCTCCATATTTCAAACTAAAGTCAGGAGTCTTAGGGTGAATTTTTTTGCTTTTGTTTTTGTTGTTGTTAAATAAAGGCATGATTTCCCCTTAGAGTGGAAGCTGACCGTGGCCATAATGGCTCTGTAATTTTTGGATCTGTTTGACCAACCCCATCCGTGTTAGGCACTTGCATTTGGATGGAAGCCAGCGCAGGGATGGTGTCCTGCTTAGTCCTCTTTGCTTCATCACTGCCCCTCCTAAATCAGTGTCCTCCTCTTTTCCCTGTTGAATCTATCTCTAAGGGGTAAAGCATGTGGCTTTTTATAAGTTTGATTACTTTGGGCCAAGGGTCCCAGTGAGGTTTATGGAACTTCCTTCCTTCCCCTAAAAATAAAATAGGCTCTGAATTAGCCAGGGAAGCTCCACTAGTGTCTCTCTGAAATGTTTCTAGTTATGTCTTTCGGGAGCACCTTCTGCCAGGACCACACTGGGGCGAGGAAGGAGCAAGGCTCAGCCCCTGCTGGTGGGGAAACAGGTGCACAGACAGAGCCTTCTGGAATACAGTGCAGGGTGTGCTGTTATAAAGGCATGAACTGGGAACTCTAGGGGCAGAGTTGACATGTTGTGAGATATTTGGGCTCAGGACAGAACTGGTAGCCTGGGATAATAGAACCCTTTTGGGATCCCAGTTTGAGAGTTCTGTCCTATTAGATGGCACCTGGTATGGAACCAGCTATGGCATTTCCCTCAGGGCTCATACAGTTCCAAGAATGCCTAAAATTAGACTGAAAATAAGGACTAAGGTATCTGACCTGCCCTTGTGGCCTTGAGCATCCTATGACCAGGACAGTTGCATGCCAGATGCTACCCAGGTGTGTCTTCTGAGCGGTGTGGGCAGGACTCCCCCATGCAGAGGGGCTTGTTTGTGATGAGTGATGGACAGAACTGATTGCCACGCACTTTCCTCTTCCTGTGCAGTTCCTGCTACCCATGACAGCAGCTGAGTAACAAGCAGGCAGACCTCTTACCTGGATGTTAGTCACAAGCTCTTGAGCAATTGTAAGTCAGCTCTTGAGAGCGTTGTGGGTTTGTGTTAGCACTTGTTTCTGTTGCCCAAGAAGATCCTTTCTGAGACCTCAGCAGGCACAACGGCTTCGGAAGAATTCAGAAACTCAGTCACTTTGTTTGGAAATGTGAGTGAGAGGGCCCTGGGCTCAGGTCCACATTGGCCTGGCCTGCTGAGCGAGCTGGGACACAGTGTCGATGAAGCTGGGCTCCATCCCCCAAGGCCTGGCTCTCTCCTGGGGCTGCAGACCAGCATGTCTAACCTCAGCCAGCCACCTCGCTCCTGTGTGCCGTCGGTCCCAGAGGAGCCAGGTGGCCAGGCCTAATGGGGCCTCCCGAGTCAGAAACCACATGTGGAAGCATGACCGAGAGAGCCTGTGCTCCTGGCAGTGGCCGCCCTCACAGGACGTGACCCCTGTCATCCTCAGCCCTGCCCCCGCTCCTGCAGTTCCCACTTCACGAGGGTTAAGTTCATCTTGCTCATACTGTGTGTGTGTGGTGGGGTGAGGAGGAAACAGCTTCCACAGGTCAGCCCATTGAAAACAGCTGCCTGCGTGGGGAGGAGGGTTCTGCGTGGAGAAGGGGGTGCCGATTTGGGGGCCAGGGCAGGTTTGGGCTGCAGGCTGAGGAGCCTTGCTTTGCTGAAGCAGGTGCACAGGTTGTCAGCACGCCTTTGCCTTACACCCCGACACCCAGGGAGGCCGCTGCCAGGAGTGGAGGAACAGAGAGAAGGTCCGTTCTGTGTCCCCGTTCTGTGTTAAGGCGGCCAAGAAAGCTCTGCCGCCTTAACCACACTTATCAGGGATTCCTGGAAAACAGGACTTCGTTTCCATTCCTGGAGGATTTCCAGTGACCACTGTGTGTAAGACCTGCATGGCCGGCTGTATCGACTCACAGGACGCAATGTGGGAACCAGTCACGCCAGTTCTGTCATCACCTGCCTCCTCCAAGGCAGCAGCGTGATCTGGGCTGGACAGAGACCAGCCTTTTCCCTGGGGCGGTGCAGGCCGACAGACCTTGTACTCTCAGACTGGGGATAGGAAAACAGAACCATGGGTCACCGACACAGCCCACCCCCACCGTGAACGTGAAGCCCCAGAAGAGCGGTCAGCTCCAGCCACAGTGAGAGGACACTAGGGGGACACTAGGCAGCCCAAAGCCAGGGTGACCACACACTGGCAGTTAACCACAGGTCTCCAGGTCACGCCCCATGTAACACATAGCCTCCCCCTCACCAATAAGCCCATGTGGTCTGCCTCTGGACGCGCTGTTTCTTTAGAGAACAAAGCGTGAACGTCTCGCCCGACAGAGGAATCTGCTGCTCGCGACCTCTCTGGGCTGCAGGGCTGGCGATGGTGTCGGCCTGTAGACCTTTCCCAGCCTGCCGCAGTCACCGCCCTGCGTCTGCACAGTGCCGGGACGTGTCTGGTCACGGGAGAACCAGGTGCCAGAAGCCTGTTCTGGGGGCCGGGGGTTGTTTTACAAGCACTGCCTTCTATTTGCGGACAATTTTATCCACATGCAGTCATGTTCCTTCCCACAGTAAGGGCTTTTTACCAAATAGTTCTGCTGAAAATTCACTTCCCTCAAGCAGATTCTGCTCTTAGGAATTGAGAGAGCAATTCCTGTGTCCTGGGCTCCCATCATCTACTAGGCCTCTCATGTACCTGAGGCACACGCAAACAACCCTGCTGCTCTCACTCCTGTTTCTCCTTTGCCTGGTTAACATCCCCAAAAACCCATTGGATCTAGGACAGAAACCCAGGAGTTGTCATTTCTGTGGCTTCTCTCTGGTCTGCCTCTAAGTGGTTAGCAAGACTTGTTACTGATCTTGCTTTCACTGGAAGCTTGCCTTCCTTCCCCTTACGGACCTCTTATTTTCCATTCCATTTGTCATGTCCTGGTTCAGGTCTTAGCATCCCTTTCCTGGGCCATCTCATCTGCGCTCTGCTGATCTTTTCTCATTCAGCTGGAATCTGTTACTCCCAAAACCTCAATGAATCCCCTTTGCCTAATATCAAAATTCCTTACTGTGGCATTCCAGACCCTTCACAGTTTGAAGGACATAACTTTGCTCTTGAGCCCTGAGGTTTCCATGGCCCCAGCCCAGCGCTCCCACGCCCCCCACACCCCCACCCAGCGTCATGCCACCACCTGGGGCTCTCCGAGCCCACCTGCACAGCCATGCCCCGTGCCTGCTCCTGCTCCTGCACCTGCTCCATCCGCCTGCCCGTGCCTCACAACCCCCTTCTCTGCCTGGGAGACTGACTCATACTCCCAGACCCAGCTCGATTTCTGCTTCTGCTGTGAGGCTGCCCCACTCTCCTCCCACTGAAAGGAATTAATTGTTCCCGCTTATGTTTCTCTCACAGTGCTCGGTTCATATGTCCATCATACCACTTGGATCATGCAGCAATTGGTGTGTTCTCTCCCCGACCCCTCTGTGTGTGTGTGTGTGTGTGTGTGTGTGTGTGTGTGTGTGTGTGTGTGTGTATGAAACAAGTATTTCTTAAGTCTACTATGCCAGGAATAACTGTGAACCAAATCAGCCTGATCTGCCTTCATGGAACTTAGAGTCTAACACTTTGTCTCCTCACTGTACTGTGAGTTCCTTATAAATGAAGGCCATCTGTGCTCTTGCTGCCTGTCGCTGTTCCTGGCACATAGCGGCCACCTGCTCCATGGATGTCCACTCAGTGAACTCTAATAGGCAGAGATGGATGCTAGAGAAGGGGGTGGCTGGGTGGATTTCTTTTGGGTACAAGGTAAATAGAAAGCATGCAAAAGTCACATTCTGCCCTCAGTTTCTGAAGGGCAGCCTGCGTTTTTATATGTGGTTATTTAATACATTCATATGGACGACCCATCATCTAGGGACCACGAGGCAAGTTCCAGGACTTGATCTAAATTTTTGTCCAGATAACTCAGAGAAGTTTGTTTCTTTTAAAGTGCGTGCAGGGAGCTCACACAACCACACGTGGCCACGCCATGGTCTGAGCACCCGTCCGGCGAGCTAGTTCCAGGTGGATGGTTTGGGGCCTGGCTGCTCTATCCCATGCTGCTCTTGTATCTTTCAGAGATCTGAAACTGGACAATGTCCTGTTGGACCATGAGGGTCACTGTAAACTGGCGGACTTCGGAATGTGCAAGGAGGGGATTTGTAATGGAGTCACCACGGCCACGTTCTGTGGCACGCCTGACTATATTGCTCCAGAGGTGAGTGCAACTGCTTCGTGCAGCTTCTGAAATCTGACCTGTCCAGTAACCCTGACCAGAAATGCCACCAGCTGCTTTTGTGTATACTGTAGCTTTTGGGCAGCTTTAAAAGCTGACACCTCCAGACTCATCTGTGGTTCAGCTGAAAATGTCCTAGGTCCCTCTAAATAAGAATTTGAGTTGAAAATTTTTTTGTAAACTTTGCAGTCACTTTAGGCTTTAGCCCTAAATGAAGACAAAATGTGCTCTGCTCATGGCTATTTAATTTATTTTCCTCTTTGTCTTTGCTCAATAATTTAATCCCAGCCTCGTTTAGCAGAACTAAAGAAAAGCTCTTGAATCTTTCCCATGTGAGTGAGTGAACCCATTCTCCTCTTCCTTCTACACTGATACATTTCCAGAGCTGCTTCTGTTTCAGGTCTGCACATGTCCTCACGTCGGCCTGAGCAGGTCATAAGGATTTACTCCCCTAGATGAGAAGGTGTCACTGAGTTGACCACAGGGAAAACCGACCACTCTGTAGAGATGGAATGAAACATGTGTGCAAGCCTGGGAGGCTTCATTTTTTTACTTTGATATTTCCTAATCCATCACTTTCCCTAGACTTGAAGAACACATTTGTTAATCAGATGCACGAAGCTTTCTCACACTGCCCCCTTTGCACAGATCCTCCAGGAGATGCTGTACGGGCCTGCAGTCGATTGGTGGGCGATGGGCGTGTTGCTCTATGAGATGCTCTGCGGCCACGCGCCCTTTGAGGCGGAGAATGAAGATGACCTCTTTGAGGCCATACTGAATGATGAAGTGGTCTACCCGACCTGGCTCCATGAAGATGCCACAGGGATCCTAAAATCTGTAAGTGTGGCTTGTCCAGCCAGCTCCTGACCAGCAAACCAGCTTGCTCTGTGTGCTTCTCGTGTCTTTTTTAATACCTCCCACCAATAGGCCACCAGCTCTAACTAAAATTTGTGTTCTAATCTAAAGAATCAAAGAACCAGAGTTCTCTCAGGCTGTTTTTCTCTCTTATGCAATAGTCATTCATATTTCTAGACTAATTGTAGTGGCCCTTGATAGCTTTGTTTGCCAAATATCAAGTATTTCTAGCACTCATGACTTTAGTGTAGGTGAAGTAATGCTCCCGTTCATGCATTCAGGCCACACCAGGGTGTTGTCTCAAGTGAACACCATTCCCAGTCTGCTATGACATCAGTCGTGTTTCTGTTGGCAATGTCCAAGGAGCAGGATGAAGGGGTCTTTACCTTAGTGCCAAGAGAGAATGAGGAGAGAAGGAGGGAGGTTTTCCAAACCTCTGCAGATCTCTTCTTGCCTCCATCTTATCCTTACACATGCCAGGTGCCAAGCCCAGGCTTCAGGTGCAATGTGGTAATGTATCATGTTAAGAAAGTCTTTTTTTTTGTAGGCATAGATGCTGGATGCCTTACTTTGAAGTGAGGAAGAAAAATGGATTTGACACCTTTATGTTGAAAATAAAGTACATGTAATTTGGGTCAGTTCTGTAACCACATTAGTTGAGTTCAAAAATCATGTGTTTTCACCTACTATTTGTAGAAGGGATAAAGGACAAAGATCTATTCTTCAAGTAGGGAAAAATCAGAACAATCCATTTTCTGTTGGATAGCATCTATGGGATAAGAATTACTTTCCTCAAGTTATAGGCTTTCAATAATTTGAGAGAAAAAGCTAAATTTGGGAAATATGAGATATCTTGTTGACAGAATTCCCTCTTTAAAAATCTCCGGCCTTATAATCAGTGTCATTTCGAGAACAGTTTGTATGTGGGCCACTGTGTACTGGAGCTGAAGGCGTGATTGTCCCTAAGAATTCTCCACATCACTAAAAGAGAAATAAGCACAGAAATCCTTCTCAGGCTAATATTGCCAAAGTGACTCATACATGATTTATAGTTTGATTCTGAAGCTCAATTGGCAGCACCCTCCTGAAATTGAGAAAGCACTAATCTCATCTAGAAATAAAAGCAGAGTGCTTTGGGGTTCTACCAAACGTCTCCTATCTGGCATGTTTTCATAACAATTCATTTGTATATTTAGTAGAAATTTTAGACTGGGGAAACCAAGAATGTGGCTTTGTAGTTTTACAAGTAAAACAGCATAGAAAAGGGCTTGTCTTTGTGAATTTGTGCCATGAGGTTTCTTAACTTCCTGAAGGGACATGTACTCACCTAGGTCGGCCCAGCCAACCCTGATAAGGTAAACTGCGATAACACAGTCTCGGCGTGCTGCAGAACTAAGCTGATGCCTTTCCCACTTCCATGACCTGGAATCTGGCTCTCTGACTGTCAAGGCATGCCAGCCCCCATGGCCTGCAACAGCCACCATCATCACACCAATGGTTGCTCACAGCACACACGTTCAGTCCAATTACTGTATCTGACTTAGCATTTTTTGTATTTAGAGGAAGGACCGGACCGCAGAGTTTGTAATTCAAATGAAAATGCTAATTCAAGCCATTAAGAAATGTGCATTGTTAGCCTTGGCATATAAAGGTCCGCTATGCTTGATAACCATGAACGGTAGGAAGTAAAAGTCAGTCTGTGCCTCAAGAAACTTTAATGTTCTCTATTTGGAAGTTAATAATCCAGATCAGTGTTTCTCTGATAAATCTTTCATACCTTTTGAATCTAGGTCTAGTAGAAATCTTAAGAGGCCACCTCACTATTTGGGTTGGACATCACTAACATCTGCTTCTCTTCATTTTTTCCTTCACGTTTTTAGAAGTCTTCAACCTCGTTCTGGTGTTTCAGAGTCTTTGTGAGAGAGTTCTTTCCAACTAAATCTGAGGCTAGGTATCACTCCCTTAGCCAACCTTTGTAGGACAAGTACTAAGCAAGGTTAAGATTCATATAGAATTATTAAGACTGTTACCTCCGAACCAGATAAACTCAATTACTTTAAGCTTTATCTTTTATGCAACTATAAATATTTTGGGCAACGAGCACATATGTTACCTGGTAATATTTCCCATGGTCTTTGCTCTGAGAGAAAACAATGTCTGGTGCCTAAAGAGAGTGTTATCTTCAGTGGAGACTCAGTTCTTCCTTCTCCAGTTGTTCCTTGTTCCTTTTCACTTCTGGGAAGCTGCGAATCCCTTCACTTCCCTTTATTTCAGCTCCTTTCTGATGCCAGCTGCTCCATTTGGTTTATTACATGTCATTTATCTAGCACTCATTTTCTTAAATGGCACTCCACGTGCTCTCTGGGGTGTCTTCCCCACAGCAGGGAGTGGAGCTCTTGGCTCCCAGTGCCAGGCCTGCCTCCCAGCCCTGCCACCATCCAACTGAGTGACCTTGGGGAGCCCCTACGCCCTCTGAACCTCAGTGTCCTTGCTTGTAAAATAGAGGGGAAAAGAGCCATGCCATAGACCTATTGTCAGAATTAAATGAAATATTAATGTTACAGATACACTTCCTGGGCACACAATAAGCATCTGTTTCTTCCTCCTCCAAGAAATGTGCCTTCAAAGTAACTTTCTGGAAAACATTTGAAAGTTGTCAGATAAAATTACTAAAAAAAAAAAAAAAAATTGCCAAAAGGATTTCTGATACAGTCTGGTACAATTTCAGCCTCCTTGCCTACACACAGGAAGTTTAAATGCTATAGATGAAGACATTCAGCTAGTGTTTGCAGAGGGCTGAAACGTATAAATGGAAGTGTGATCAAGGAAAAGAAAGAAAACAGTTCAGAGCACTCAAGGCCCAGGAGAAACGCTGAGGGGGTAAAGGGAAACACAGAGTTGGGTTGCTCAGGAAACTGCCTCCTGAGCAGAGCTGTCCAACGGCACATTCTTGGCTCCTACACTCACTGGCTGTGCGACCTTGGGCAAACGGCATAATTCTGCCATGCCTCAGTTTCCTCTCCTGTGCAGTTAGGATATCCACCCCATGGGCTGTATGGTTGCGTGTGTGGGAGGTTTGGAGCAATGCTTGGCACAAGGTGCGTGTTCTGAAAGTGTCCTCCACCATTATCAGTGAGACTCTTTATCTCTGAAAAATTATTACTTTGTCACAATTAGGAGGAGGGTTCAAGATATCAAGTCAGGCCACACAACGCATTCAGACTGCTTTCTGTCCCTAATTGCGACTTGATTTAATTAGGCCAATATAGTTCTTTTATTGCTAGAATAGAACTTAGAGATTGTTCATTCCAACCCCGTCATTTTGGAGATGATGAAACTATTAGGTGTAGAGAAATTGTGACTCATCAAAGGCCATGCAGCATATTACTTTAACAAATATATTGGAACCTTTGTGCATTGCTGAAAAGCGTGTAAAATGCTACAGCCATTGTAGAAGGTGGCATGGTGGGCAGGCCTTCAAAAAATTAAACATAGAATTACTGTATGATCTAGCACTTCTAGTTCTGGATATAGGCCTCCAAAAATTGAAAGCAGGAATTGACACAGATATTTGTAACCACTGTTCATAGCAGCATTATTCACAGTAGCCAAAAGGTGGAGGCAACCCAAGTGTCCAACAGGTGGATAAATAAAATGTGGTAGCACACATGACAGAATATTATTCAGCCTTAAAAAGGAAGTAAATTCTGACACATGTCACAACATGGATGAACCTTGAAGGCATTGTGGTAAATGAAATAAGCCAGACACAAAAGGACAAATATTATATGATTTCACTAATATGAGGTCCTTAAACTGGTCAATTTATAGAGATAGAAAGTAGAATGGTAGTCACCAGGGGCTGAGGGAAGGTGGGAAGGAAACGTCAGTGTTCAATGGGTATGGAGGTTCAGTTTTGGAAGATGGAAAGGTTCTGGAGATGGATAAGGTGATGGTTGTACAGCAGTGTGAATGCACTGAATGCCCCGTACTGTACACTGAAATGGTTAAAATGATAAATCTTACATATATTTTGCCACAGTAAAAAAAAGCAGAGGGAGGAATAATACAGGATCAGATTCCAAATTTTCCTGACTTCTAGTTCAAGGTTCTAAGAGGGATTACATCTGGCCATTCCCTACTTTTCCTACTTTCTATTAATAAGTATATTTTTACCCTTTGAGCCCCACATTTCTAGTATCCAAAGTATTCCCTGATGCCATTCTTTTACCTGGAACATTAGCCACTGGAGGAAACTACCAGCGTACTGTTTACTACCCACATAGCATGAATCTCTCACCTATTTAACTTTCAATAAAGTAAGATATAATGTTTATGATAATAAGCAATTATTGTGTTGTTTAAATATTATGCATTTGAATAATGCCATAATGTCAGAAGTAATTATTCCTCTGTTGACCTGAGAAGAACATCTGTAATTCTGCAAGGAGAAGCCAATATATTAGGAAATCAAAATCCATGTTCAGTTCAGCTCAGTAAATACTTGTCAGGTGTCTTCCTTTGCTTGTGCTGTGTAGAGGACTGGGAATGCAGGATGAAAGGACATGGCCTTCTGCTGCTGCTTACAGACTAGTAGGAATGAGAACATGAATACTTAGCACACTGCCATGGAGCAATGATTTTTCTCAGGGCTTCTTTCTTTGGGGGTAAGGACAAGGGAATGTGACATAAGGACAGGACAAAGGAAGTGGCATTTAAACTGGGTGCTAAGGGATAAATAAGGATTCAGTGGGATAGACAAGAGGGAGAAGGGTGTTCTAGGCAGAGGAAATAATTTGTGCAAACCCTCAGAGGCAGCAAGTAGCATGCATGTTCCAAGAGCTACAGTTCTTAGCTCTACACCGTTGGAGTGTTAGGTGCAGGGGGTAATAATGAAAGATGAGTTTATGGCATCCATTTTGATGGGCCAGGGAGACAATCAGAAAGTGGCATATACTTGGTAGTTGATCATTTGGGTCTGT